AAAGCTTGTGCGAGAGGGTTCTGGGGCTTTTGGGTTCGGTTCAGGGTTCTCGCTCCAGTGTTGGCGCTTTTTCGGGTTTCGAGGGTTGTTGCTCCTTTGTTAAAACATGGTTGCTGGGGTCGTGTTTGTGTGTGTGTGTGTGTTTGTTTGTGTCTGTGTGTTGTGTGTGTCTGCAGCTTAGAAAGTCTTGAGGGTTCGTATGCATTTGGTGTTACAGCTCCGGGTTTTTTGTGCACATTTCAAGAACTTGGGTCTGTCCGAAACCCCGAAACCCTCAACCTTAAAATGCTATAGCCTTAGACAACCCTCACAACCACAAAAGCTAAACTTTTCGCATACCTTGGAGTGTCTACCTGGAGTGATTGCCTTGAGAGGCTTACCCTCGAGTGAGACCCATACCTTGAGAGGCTCATCAAACTCCTAAACCCCCAACCCTAAACCTTAAACTCCTAAGCCCGAAACCCTGGGGCTGGACTGAGGTTGAGACGTTGAGGATTTTGGGTTTTGGGCGAACATCAAAAGCCCAAAATACCCTAGAATATCCTCAAACCCAAAAAACCTTAAACCCTAAAACCCAAAAAATCCCTAAACCCCAAAACCCAAAAACCCTAAAACCTTAAAGCCCTAAACACCGGACAACAGCAAAGCTCAAGTTCTCAAATCTACAGTCAATACATTCCTCAAACAGTGGCCAAGCCTTTGGGAATGCGAAGTGTAATCTAGTCTGCAACAGACTATGGAAGCTTTCCCGAACAACCAAACAATCCATCCAAACCACAGAGCCCTCGCTTGCAGGTGACACCGTTGGCCGAGCAGGCGGTCACTGTGGGTTGTGGTTTTGTGGGGTCTTTAGTCTAAGACCCACAATACCCAATATCGTGAACCCAGAAGCCCGATTATACACTGAAATATCAACCCGTGAGGGCTGCTCTCCACTATTTTAATTCTGTCATAAAGACTTAGGGATTGGGGTTCAGAGTTTTGGCAGCTCATCGGGATTTACGATTTTCCGGGTTTAGGTTTTTGGCTTTGGGGTTTGGTTTTAGGGCTTTCGGTGTTTTTAGGTTTTTCCCTTCAGGTCTTTAGGCCTTCTAGGGTTTTAGGGTTTTAGGGTTTTAGGGTTTAGGGCTTGGGGCTTTAAGGTTTTTGGGTTTTGGGGTTTTGGGGTTTAGGGTTTTTTGGATTTTAGGGTTTAGGTTTTTTTTGGTTTTAGGATATTTTAGGGTATTTTAGGGTTTTAAGACTTTAAGGCTCTAGTGTGTTTTTGTGTTTCCCGTTCCCAAACTGTCTCTTGACCTTCCAGTCTTTCAGGCGACAGAAGCGGACACGCCACTGCGGTGGCTCAAGCTGCCTTCGAGGAAAAGGCCTTTTTGTCATGTAGGGCTACCACTGTTGTTTCGGCAACAGTGGTAGCGGAGCCTTGTTCGATTCACGGACAGTAGGGGTACTGCCCAATCGATATAGCTTCCGAGCCCTTAGTCATGGCAGCCGATCCTGCAGCTAGCGCACAGCCTGTTCCCGACGACGAAGTGGACGACGAGGCCGAGGAAGAAGAACCTTTTGATCCTTGGGCGAGCCAAGGAGACCAGGGTGACACCGGCGACCGGTACACAGCTCGGCCGGCCAGTCCAACGGACGCTGCTGAGTACCGACAGTTTCTTCAGTTCCTGAACCGCCGTGGCGGCAACAGCACTCGGCGGCGTGGAGCTGATGATGATGACGACGATGACGACAGGGACTCGAGGAGCAACTCGGGTCCGCCACCAACCTGGGATGCCAGCACTCCTTTCAAGGATTACCTGATCCGTGCTCGGCTGTGGTTGGCGACGACAAAGGCGAAGCCTCAGAGCCGAGGCCTGATGCTTCTTCGGGGCCTCACGGGCGTTCCCTTTGATGACATGAAGTACCTGGCTAAAAGCGATTCCTGGATGAAAGCCAAGGACAATGGCGAACAGCTCCTCAAGGCGATGGATGTTAAAGAGCTGTACGGAGATGATGAACGGGAAGACATGTTGAACAGCCTCTTCAAGATCACCTACGCTGTCCGCAGAGGCAAGTCCGAAGGGCACAAGGAGTTTTTCTCTAGATGGGAGCTTGCTATCAGGAAGCTTTCAGAGCATAACATCACGTTGCCTTCGGAGTATCTTGGGTTTCTGTTGACGATGGCGTTGCAATTGAATCAAGAGGAGGTTAAACTTCTCATGAATTTCACCCAGGGAAGATTGAGCCAGAAGGATGTTAAAGAGTGGGTCAGGGTTCATGAGACGAACCTGGACCTCAAGTCAGCGGCGACCTCGTCGGCACGTGCCAAGCCTCCAGCAGCAGCCTACCACACGGAGATCTCCGATCCCGTCCCCGAGACCGAGGACTTCGGCGATGAAGGCCCGGATGAACAGATCGAGGTTCTCTTGAATGTCATGCAGGACCTCAGCGAGGATTCCGGCGGCACGAATGCCGCGGAAGAGCAGGGGAGCTTTGATGAGGACGAGGCCCGGGAGATCTTGTCTACGATGGTCAAGGAGCATGCCAAGCGCCGGACCTTTGCTGCTGTGAATGAGGCGAAGAAGAACAAGACGTTGGCCCGTGGCTATGGTGCCGGTGCCCGCTATCAGTTCGGCAAGGGGTCCGGCAAGGGCGGGTCCAAGGGTGGCTTCGAAGGTTCCTACAGGGTTTCTATCGAAGCCCTCAAGAAGCGAACCCGCTGTGCCAATTGCAAAGAACTGGGACATTGGCACAAGGAGTGCCCCAAGCCAAGCAATCGGGCTGCTAAGCCGGCTGACAAGGAACATGGTGCGCATCTCCTCGAGCTTGGGGCCCACGAGGCCCACTTTCTTGGCTTCGAGGATTTCCTCCGCACGAAGCAGGCGATCAACGCCGACTCCGGAGCCCAGATGACGATCGGCGGCTCGTCGAGCAGCACTGCGCGACCGCGACCTTCCGGATCTGCTTCCGTTTTGTCCGCATACAAGGAGCGCGTGCCAGTTCATGATGTGTGTTTTCTTTCCAGAGCCCAAGCCGAAGCCCAAACAGCTTTCGACGAGACTTGTGCTACAGTGGACACTGGGTGTCAGAGATCTGCGGTAGGTAAGGAAACTCTTCAGAAGCTTCTCGAACATCAGCCTCCTGATCTTCCTGCCGTAATCAAGGCTGAGACGCATCACTTCAAATCCATCAATGGTGTCAGTAAAACTGATCGAGTCGCATGCGTCCCTACCAGTTTGGGACCTCGAGGGTGCGTGTTGAGGCCTGCGGTCTTTGAGGATGAAGCTACAAAGCAGGCTCCTTTTCTTCTTTCACTTCCTTTTCTTCTGCATTGTCGATCGGTGCTGCACCTAGATCCCAAGGACGGCTTGCAGTTGCAGTTGAAGCGTTTCAACCGTGTAATACCTCTACACATTGGCCCGACCGGTGCTTTGAGAGTTCCCTTACACCAGTTCTCTAATGTCATGCACCGTGAGCTCAGCCAAGCGATGAGTGAGTTGGAGCATGAAGTTGCTGCGCCGTCATGTCTTCATGAATCACCGGAAGAACGGCTCAGCAGGCAACCCCGTGCTGTAAATTTTCTCCGTGATCCTCAGCCTGCCAGCTGCAGCGAACATGCCCTCCGGGAAGCGGTCTCGTGTCGACAACACGAAGGAGTTCAACCCGAACGAGATCGCCTGGAGCCGGATGGTGGTTCGAATGCTGATGTCGGTCTTGAACGCGGCCTCCAGTGTGATCCTCTCCCACTTGGGCATCCGAGGACCTCGGATGCAGATCTACGACCAGGTCATCCAGGAACTTCCTCGGATGACCGGTGCCGAGCTCGACAATCTTCGTCGTGCTGTGGAACATCACCTCGAGCGACGGCGGCTCGAAGGAATGAGCTCGGACCAATGGGATGCCAAGCTGCCTTGGAGTCGCCAGACGACCGAGGACCACGACATGGAGACCAACTCCGAGACCGGCTTCATCCTGATCGACACGCCCAAGCTGGTCACGGGAGCAACCGAGAATCACCGAGCGGTGATCCGGTGCTTCTGTCAGAAACCTACGGTGGTTCTTCAAGCCCGCAAGGAAGGACGCAACCAAGGACGCCTGTTTCGCAGGTGCCCTCTCTGGGCGAACCCGTCGATCCGCTGTTCCTATTTCAGCTGGTTGGAACACCAGCCATACTGGCAACCAGGAGCGACGAGCTCGACGGCTCCTTATCCGACCTCGACCGGGCCTCCAGTGGACTTCACCAAGGCACCCGCGACACCTGCGAAGTCGTCGAAGAGTCCAAGCTCGCCGACCTCACCTTCGATGATCAATCCGGAGAAGTGCGAACACCGGGCGACAACCTACGCCGGGTCGAACGCCTATGTCCACCAGGTGAAGTGTCGAGATTGCGGCAAGGTTCTCTCGAGGACCAGGAAGGAACCAGCGGCAGCGGCCGCCCCGGCACCGACGACTCCCTCCTTGGGAGGCAGCTCGTGGCTCAACAGCCCCAGCGACATGGAGCCAGTGGAGATCGATCCCCGCCGGCCGGCGGGACCTCCGCCACCAGTTCCGGTGAACAACATGAGCGACACCTACAAGGGGAACCGGAGCACCAAGGTGAGTGGATCGGCCAGCTCGACCCGAGACAACCAGGATTGGGAGGAGTTCCAGGAGTTCAAGCGTTTCCAGGCCATGAAGAACAGGCCGAAGTGAATGCCCTCCTCGGCAAGCACCGAGAACGGCAAGTGCTAGGACATCTTCGGAAAGCCGAAAGGCAATGGACAGATGTAGCAAGCTGTCTTTGCGATTCGCACGGAGATGGTCTCTCCAGCCTAAAAGATCGAGCTTGTCATGCGCTTCAAGGGGGTTCCTCCAAGAAGGTAGAGTATTACCAGGAGCTGTTTGCGTTGTCGAAGGTGGAGGCCAAGACTGTTGCGGAGATCTATAATCCTAATAGGTTTGGTAGACGTGCCAAGCAGTTTCGACTCCATCCTGGCCAAGCGTTCGATATTGAGTTAGGTCATGATTTGCTGAAGCCTTCCGTGCAGCATTCGGTCTTGACCTATGTGCAGCAAGAGCGCCCCGGGCTTGTCATTATCTCGCCGCCCTGTGAGGCTTTCAGCACTCTCAATCGACTGCTTGATCGATTTCGTCAGCACAACCTAGCAGCTCTCAGGCGACACATCGATAAGCTCAAGCGAGGGAAGGTGTTACTTAACTTTGCTATGAAGGTATGTCGGCAATGCCTTGATCAAGGAACTACCTTTGTGTTTGAGCATCCTCGCGGCGCCTCTTCATGGACTATGCCCTCTGTGCAGCGTCTCCTTAAGCAGCTGGGCGTGATCCTGGTGGTTGCTGACCAGTGTGCCTACGGCTTGACCGACAAGCACCAGGTGCCGCACAAGAAGGCCACCGGCTTCATCACCAACAACAAGAATGTGGCTGAGGCTCTTTCTCGGAAGTGCCCGAAGAATCACCCTCATGCGTGGATCCTCGGCAACAAGCAGATCTCCAAGCGAGCTCAGGTGTATCCAGATGCTCTGGTGGATGCCATCCTCGAGAGCTATAGCCGGTCGATCGGCAAGGCAACTCACGAAGTACACCTGACCAAGGCGGATCAAGTGGTAGCCAAAGACCGACGGCATGATTGCAACTACTTCTCCGCGCAGGAGCGCAACGAGATCGAGGAACAGCTTCGCCAGGTGCCCAAGGAGATCCTTGCTGAGGAGGAAGAGTCTCCGCCTCTGGTGGACGTGATGAAACCAGAAGCCTTTGGAATCACTGCGGACCTAGAAGCGACGGTCGGATGGAAAGAAGTGCCTTTGACGAAGCACTGGCTCTACGTGGGCGACAACGAACCGGAGCTGACCATTCCGGCGGTCGACTCTGCTGCCCGCCGCCTACCATGGCGGACTACCTGGACCAGGGTCCAGGAACGGTGGGTTCTTCTTGAAGACGAGGTGCGATGGCAAGACCTTCCTCAGCAACCTGCCCTTCAGCCCAACACAAGGTATATTAGCGTCTATCAAGCCAGGCTAGATCAAGGAGCAGACAAGAGAATGAGACATTTTCCAGGGATGGCCAAAATCACCCTGGAACGTATGATTCGTAGAGCTCATGAGGGACTGGGTCATCCAGAGCATAGCAGGTTCATCCGCATTCTCCGCCAATCGAATGCATCTGATGAAGTGATTGCTGCGGCTGAGAAGTTCCGTTGCTCAACTTGCGAGGCTTACAAGCTGCCCGATCCAGTACGAAAAGGCGCACCTCCCAAGGAGGATTTGTTCATCAATGAGAGAGTGGGCGTTGATACCGTTCATCTTCGTGATCATAACAATGAGGCTGTACCATCGCTCAATATCATTGATTTTCATACTCACTTTCAGCTTGTGATTCCCATGGCCACCGAATCCGCAAGTGAAGTTCGCAAAGCTTATCGTCAGTGGGTTCGGTTCTTCGGTGTTCCTCGCAAAGTGCTATATGACCTAGGATCGGAGTTCAAAGCCGAGTTTCGCCGACAGGTGGAACAAGATGGCAGCGAGGCCATCCCCAGTGCGCTGGAAACTCCAACGCAAAGAGGCCTGACAGAGCGTGCCGGCGGTGTTTTCAAAAACATTCTCTATAAATCGATGGTGGACTACCAGTGCACCAGCAGAGATGAATGGAGAGAACTAGTGGACATTGCTTGCATGACTAGAAATCGGCTGCTTCTTCGAGGCGGGTATTCTCCGATCCAACGAGTCATCGGCTACACGCCTCGCCTTCCAGGAGGCCTCTTGAGTGGCGGTGCTGATGACCACACGTTTGCCGCAAGGTTGACCATGGGGGATAAGGATGTAGCTCGTGCAATGAAGATGCGTAAAGCCGCTGCTGTAGCTTTTCATGCAGCAGATTGCGACCAAGCACTCAGGGCTGCAACTTTGGCCGGGTCCCGGAGGGTATGCGACTTCGAGGTGGGCCAGGCGGTCTACTTCTGGCGACGAGGCGCCGGGAGCACCAAGAAGACTCGACAGTCTTATTGGCAAGGACCTGGTCGAGTTGTGATGACATCTTTGCCCAATGCAGTTTGGATTGCTCGCGGCAACATGTTGGTGAAAGCATCTCCCGAACGGGTTCGGCATGCATCCTCAGAAGAGAATTTGTCAGTTTCCGGGTGGCTTCGTGGAATCTCTAAGACTCGGCAGGACTTCGAGAAGATTCCCCGGAAGGGCTTTGTAGATCTGACCGTCGAGAATCCTGATGAAGCTGCTCTAGAACAACCTGACGATCCACTAGAAGAAGATGGTGTTATCGAACCTGTGCCTCCCGGTAGTCTTCCGGCTGAAGACGCCCCAGTTCGTAGAGTACGCCAGAAAACTTCTATGTATTCCAATATTCGTCCCGAACCCCGAGAAGAAGATGACAGTCAACCAGTAGGTCCCAACGAACCTCTGGAAGCTCCCGAAACTCTACCAAGCCAAGCTAACGAACCACCTCCAGCTCCCTCTCCGCCGCCAGCCTTCCTGAGACCCCGGGTTCTGCAAGAGCTACAGGTTCGTCGGCAGGGACCAAGCGAGAAGGTGATGATCAGACAGCTCCTCCGGGTAAGCGTAGTCGAGTAGCTTTGCTGGAAGCGTTCCATCTGCATCTTCAAGGGCTTAGCAAGCAAAGGCAAAAGAAAGAGTCCAAGGCCAGTGACTTCAAGGGGAAGGACTTCGATAAGTTGCAGAAAGCCATTTTGAAGGAGATCAATAATAATCTTGCGACCCAAGCCTATGAGATCCTCAGCAAGGAAGCCTCTGAAGAGATCATGCGCACAAAGCCTGAGAAGGTGATGGAATCTCGGTATGTCATCACTAAGAAACCGCTTGAGCCGTCCGAGGTCAGCAAGGCCGAGAGCGAAGGAATTCTCCTCGCCGATGGTGACCATGGACCATGCAAGGCCAAGTGTCGTCATGTGATGCGCGGGTATTCAGAAGAGTCTGCTCTAGACGTTGAGTTTACTACCCCACAGATCACCCGTGACTCCGTGATCTTCATTCTCCAGATCCTCTCGAGCTTCATATGGACTCCAGGTTTTGTAGACTTTACACAAGCCTTTCATTCCGGGGATTGGATACAAAGAGAACTTTACTGCAGTCAACCGCGTGAAGGCATTCCTGGGATGCACCCAAAGCAGTTGTTACGTTTGCTTAAGACATGCTACGGTTTGACGGATGGTCCGCTGGCATGGTACAAGCATTTAGCGCGTCGGCTGCAACAGCTTGGCTATGAAGTTAGCAAGGCTGATCCTTGTGTGTTCTTTCTTCGGGGACCTGAGAAAGAAGGGTCAAAGCTTGAGGGCATCATTGGGGTTGCCACAGATGATCTTCTTCACGGTGGCACAGAACGCCACTGGAACAACATAGCCACCATTGCCCAGGAATATAAGCTGGGCAAGAATCAGCAAGGAGCAGGCCGCTTCACGGGCAAGGACATTGCACTTCAAGATGATGGTTCGATTCTTGTGAACCAGCAGTTCTATGTCCAGGACAAAGTGAAGATCATTCCTCTTGATAGGAAACGCAAACAGCAGAGATACTCCCGTTGCACTCCTGCGGAAGTTGAGTCATTGCGTAGCTCCTTGGGGGTTTTATCGTGGCTTGCTAAAGAGACTCGATGTGATCTCGCTGGCCGTGTGGCACTGTTGCAACAAGCCTTTCCCGAGCCACAGGTTCGGGACCTGATCGAGGCCAACAAGATCAGCGAGGAGGCTCGCAAAGAGAGCGACTTGGGAATCAAAATTATGCCGATACCGGTTGAGAATCTTCGGGTTTCAGTTGTGACGGATGCGGCCTGGGGAAATTCACGAGAGACCCCCTGGTTGGAAGACCACCCAGATGATTACTGGGAGGAGAAACCCGAGTGTTGGATTCGCCATCACGTGCAGCCTCGCCGGAGACCTACCATCCCGGTTCCTCTCCAGATGGCCCTGATCTTCATCGCCTTTCCGGCAAGCAGACGATTTACAAGTTCCAGCAGAAACAGGGACAAGTTGACCACCAAGTGCTCGAGGACCACTGGGCGGAGCCTGACGGCATTCGTGTCCTTCAGGACACCGCCTGGACCGGAAGCAGCTGGTTCTGGAAAGATGACAACGGAGGTGTTCCGGCTTCCAAAGTTCACTCGAGCTGGGTTCAACTGCAGAATTTAAGCAGCCAGGGCGGTCAGATTGTGATCTACCACGACAAGAAGTTGTCAGAGGCCGAAGAACCGGCCATGACGACGGTGGCCTCTTGGCGGAGCTACCGTCTTAAGAGGAAGACTGTGGACACCCTGGCGGCTGAGGGACAGGCGCTACAAAGCGGGCTAGGATCAGTGCACTGACATCGCTTGCTGTTCATGGAGGCCCTCTACGGTGATTTGAAGATGCGTGAGTGGCGAGCGGTTGCTGGTCGATTGCCTTTCCTAGCAGCAGTCGACTCCAAGTCGTTGTTTGACGCTGTCAATAAATGCGCTTGTACAGCCGCGTATGTCAGTGACAAACGCACAGCTATAGATTTGGCTGTGATTAAATCTGATTTGCTCGAGACAAGTGGGACGATACGATGGGTCGATACTCGTTCCATGATTTCTGATCCCCTCACGAAGCAGCACCCTGGAACATACTTAAAGTATGTTCTGCGCAAAGGATACTGGTCGGTGATGGAAGAGGGACATGCTTTGCAAATCAAGGCTCTTGAGAGAGAGGCCAAACGAGCTTCTGAGAACCTCTTCCTGACAGTTTGGGAATTTAAAGTGTGACCGGTGTGTTTTTGTGTTTCCCGTTCCCAAACTGTCTCTTGGCCTTCCAGTCTTTCAGGCGACAGAAGCGGACACGCCACTGCGGTGGCTCAAGCTGCCTTCGAGGAAAAGGCGTTTTTGTCATGTAGGGCTACCACTGTTGTTTCGGCAACACTAGGGTTTTAGGGTTTTAGGGTTTCAAGGCTTCAAGGTTCCAGGATGTTTCTCTCTATGTCGCCCTCTTGCATAGCATCCCTACAGGCCTAAACCCCTAAACCCGACATCGTGCATAGCAGCCCTCTGTAGGCTTGTAAACTTTACAGAAGCAACCCCTGAACCCCTAAACCCGACACCCTGAAACGAAACCCCTAAACCCGACAACCTGATTTTATGTAACTAACAGCACAAGCAGAGCCTCTTGTTGCTCACTCCAACCCTCCAAAGAGGGCAAACCCCGAATGTGTGCTGCTGCTGTTCCGAGATCGGTTCATGTATACCACGACATGTTTCTCCACTTTTATCAAAGTAGAATCACACGTTTGGTTTTGCTGCTCCGACAAGGCTGCATTATACTAGTGCTTAGGCTGCATTATACTA